ATTGCTAGGGTTAAGAATACGTTTACATAACTAGGGTGAAAATTGAAATAGACTGAGAAGTCATGTATTGGAAAAAGCTGAAGGTATTGGGTGCTGGTTCTTATGGAACTGTGTCTCTTGCCGCACAAGAAGATGGTTCGTTTACTTTTGTAGCAGTGAAATCTGCAGAAGTGAAGGATTCGTTTTCGCTTTCAATGGAAGGAGGAATATTGGATGCGTTGAAAGGGTCGCCATACGTAGTTCAGTGCTTTGGAGAAGATGTAAGTGTTGAAAACGGTAAACATACTTATAACCTCTTGCTCGAATATGCTGTTGGTGGCACTTTGCATGATTTGATTAATATTTACTCTAAGTCTAAGGAGATGGTTGAAGAATCAGAGGTTGCATACTATGCTTTTCAGCTTTTGACAGGGATTTCTCATGTTCATCGTAAAGGTTTTATTCACTGCGATCTGAAACCTAGTAATATACTTGTTTTTCCTACTGTTGATCACGAATATGGTAGTATTGTGGATGTGCGCCTCAAGTTGGCTGATTTTGGACTGTCGTTGAAAACGGTAGAAAACGAAACACATACATATTGGGATAGAGGCTCAAAGAAGTGTCGACATCATAGAGGGACTCTGCTTTATGCTTCCCCAGAATCTATAGCTCGTGGGATTCATGGTAAAGCTGTTGATATTTGGGCACTTGGTTGCATAGTTGTAGAGATGATCACAGGGAGGCGGTTATGGTCGTGTTATGAAAGTGTTGAAGATTTGGACTTCAAGATTGTACATGAAGAACCTGTGATTCCGAGTAACGTTTCTAATATATGCAAGGACTTTCTAGCCAAGTGTTTTGAAAAGGATCATAATTGGAGATGGACAGCAGATATGCTGCTTAATCACCAATTTATTAAGAGTGCTACGTCCGGTAAATATCATCCAGAAGATCATGGGATGATCAGTAATAAGGTTATTATTAACCCTTTTAGTCATTGCGAAAGTTGGGTTTCTAAGCGGCACTTGTTTTCAACGTGCTTTCATTTGCCTTCAATTGATAACTTCAGATCAAGATATGCTATTTTTCCAGCAGAGAATGCACAATGTCGAATTACAGAAGCTGCTAATTACTCTCTTCCTCTGTGTTAGAGGGACCTCATCAATCTGCCATTTGCACAAAGAAGACCAGAGAATGCAGAATGTCTAAGTTTTTTATTTCTTTCCAGTCAGTTGTAATTCATGGAGTAGTTAATTAGCATCTTATTAGTACAAAATAATAGTAGTATTAATATTCAGAAAATAGTGCCAAAACTGATGCGGTACATGTGATCAACAATATAATAAGGCCTTGATAATGTTTTCTTTAAATCTAGCTCCTCTTTATTTCTCATTGTCTCCTTAAGTTGTAATTAGTTACCAGATACATGTCCCATTGTAAACCAATATTTAGAGATAATTAATTAAAGCTAGGTTTTAATCATGGTTAGGATAATAGATATTTTATATATTTACACAAAATTAAAAGACCGGTAATCGCACCATTCTAGCTACTAAATTTTATTTAATTTTCATTCAATCGTGCATGTATTATAGATAATGTAGTAAACATACCTATGAATGTTTGGAATTCCTTTTTAAAGCATCCAAATGAGGTTCAGAACAACTTTTACAAAAGTGAAATATTCCACCTGATGATAATTGCGGCTTAAAAATTTAAAAGTATCGACATGCATGGTGGTAAAACATTTAGAGCCCGTTTGAATTAACTGATTGTAAATAGCTGATAAGTTTGAAGTGTTGGAACTAATTTTTTAAATAATTAGCATTTACGTGTTCGAATAGACGTATTGAAACTAATAATAAGGCAACAGGGGAATATGGCTAGAAAAAGTGATCCCCAATCGGAAGATGCAAAGAAAACTAGAAGTTTGAATGAGATACAAGGCATAATACCATTGGAACTGAAGCAAACACCAATGGCTGGACCGTCAATAATGGTGTGACTCCGATGACGAACAATCAATTGACAACTTCAGCAGGGACAAGCAACCAAAAACATGCACAGAGCTCTGGGAAGAATTCCTGGGCGGATCAAGTTGAAAATGAAGAAAAATCCCAAAGTGAATAAGGTATTGCTCAAACCCTAAAACCTAAATCGTGGAGTAGTGTAGTGGGAAAAGTAATTATCAGCGAGGGCTTTGATTTGGAAGGGGAAGAGAAAACCTCTGCAAATGTCAAAATTACTTTGGCAGATTTGTGCAGGAGGAAATTGAGTATTGGTAGTCTGCAGTAGTGTGCTATGTTTTGGGATCGAATCCCCCTTTAACTGTAATAGAGGGGTATTTCAAAAGAATATGGGGTCATTTGGGGCTAGATAAGGTGGCTCAAACTAACAAAGGGGTCTTTATGATAAGATTTCACATTGTAGAAGGAAGAACAAAAGCAATTAAAGGGGGAACCCAAACTTTTGATAGAAGCCCAGTGGTGGTGAAGCCAGGAATGGAAATGAGTAAAATAATGGTGGAGCAGGTTTCAATTTGGATCCGGCTTGTGGGACTGGATCTCAAGTACTAGGGTCAAGCTGCTTTGGCCAAAATTGCAGGATTAGTAGGTAAGCCTATAAAAGCTGATACTGCAACTACAAGGAAGGAGAAGTTAATGTATGCTAGGGTGATGGTTGAAGTACCAATGAATAAAACATATCCAAATACAATAATATTTGAGAATGAGCTTGGGCAAATAATAGAACTGACAGTGGAGTATGAATGGAAGCCAACACTGTGTGATCATTGCAGAAACTATGGACACATCAAGAAACACTGTAGGAAACTACAGACAAATCATAAAAGAACCAGACAGCACAAACATGGAAACCTATAAATGGAAAAGTTCAAGTTGAAATGCAAAGAGGAGAAGGCAAGAAGGAAGTGCAGGAAGAGATGAGAAAGACCAGGCAAGAAGTAGTCCAACAAGCTACCACCACATTGAGAAACTCATTTTCTACTTTGGAGGAGCACCCTGAGAAACCAGAAGCTCATGTAGGGGTGGTGAATAAGAGAAACCAGAATGGAATACCAGATGAACAAAGAAAAAACAGGATCAGTACAACAGAGGGGCAAGAAACACAATACACAAGTAGTACAACAGTGGAGGCTACTAACAACAAAGGAGCACATATGAAAAGTGGAACAGGGACAAGTAATGTGAGGGGAGGAGGAGCCCCTCCACCTAATGGATAGAATAGGATTCTGGAATGCCAGAGGCCTAAATAGGCAAGACAAGCAGAAAGAGATGAATCTATTTTTGCACAACTCTAAAGTTGGCCTATTTGGGTTCCTGGAGACAAAGGTTAAGAGGTCTAAAGAATCATCAGCTGCTCTTAACCTTTGTAATGGATGGTCATTCAGTACAAACCTTAACTACCATCCAGGTGGTAGAATTTGGGTACTATAAAAACCACAAATGTTTAGTGTGAATATCACAAAGGTGTCTGCTCAGATTATACATTGTATGGTTGAACATAGAGGAACTCAGTACAAGTTCCAAATAACAATGGTATATGGTTTTAATGATCAAGGACTAAGAAGAGAATTATGGCAAGAGCTTGAACAAATATACAACACTATGCAAGGTCCATGGGCAGTAATGGGGGACTTTAATTGTGTCCTACATAGGGATGAGAGAGTGGGGAGACCAGTATCAGTATCAGAAATAAAGGACTTCAAAGAATGTGTTGGAAAATGCTCACTTCAAGAACTCAGATCTTCTGGATCATATTATACATGGAACAATAAATATGGGGACACCAGCAGAGTTTATAGTAGAATTGACAGAGTATTAGTAAATGGGGAGTGGCTGAGTGCATTGCCAGGATCAGAGGTGCACTTTGGGAATGAGGGCCTCATGGACCATTGTCCTGCCTTGATAAACTGGGACAATGGACCTCAGCAGAACCAACACAGATTCAGATACTACAACATGTGGAGTCAAGCCATAAATTTTCAACAACAGGTGAAAGACAGCTGGGAAAAGAACATAGAGGGTACATGTATGTATAAACTGGTGGAAAAACTCAACAGGCTCAAATCTGTTCTCAAAGCTATAAACAAAAGCCAATTTAGTGATGTAGAAGGCAAAGCTATACAAACACAAAGGGAGTTGGAGGAATGTCAGAAGGCAATAGAGAGGGACCCTGTTAATCTAGAACTAATTTTGAAGGAAGGACAGCTTTCCAAACAATGCCAGATATGGACACAAGCAAGAAATAAGTACCTGCAGCAGAAATGCAAAATGCATTGGCTGAAGGAAGGGTACATGAACACTAAGTTCTTTCACAGCATGATAAAAGCCAGAAGGAATTCCAACAGAATCTTTACTATAAGAGATGGTGGAGGGAACACAAGAACTACTGTACCTGACATAGCAGAGGCATTTGTGGAGTATTACAGAAACCTACTAGGCACTAAAGGTACAAGCAGAACAAGAGTATGTAGTGCAACTATAAAAGAAGGGCCTGTGGTTTCAGTAGAACAAAGGAGAATGCTGACAGCAGATTTCAATACTCAGGAAATGAAGGAAGCATTATGGGATATTGCAGGTGACAAAGCACCAGGACTTGATGGATATGGAAGTCAGTTCTTCAAGGACTGTTGGGACACAATTAAAGAAGACTTAACAGCAAGAGTGATGGAGTTCTTCAGAGCAGGGAAGCCACTAAAAGTTTGGAACACCACAGTTCTTACATTGATCTCAAAATCAGACCATGCAGATACAGTAGGTGACTACAGGCCAATTGCATGATGCAATACTATATACAAAATAGTGTCCAAAATGCTCTCTAACAGGTTGAAGCTAGTCTTACCAGAGATAATCTCACCCAACCAAAGTGCATTTGTAGCTCGAAGAAATATAGTATAAAACATTCTCATATATCAAGACTTGGTGAGGCTCTACAACAGGAAGCAAACAACTACCAGTTGCCTGATTAAAATAGATTTGAAGAAGGCATATGATACAATGGAGTGGGAGTTTGTAGAGGAGATGCTACATGCTAAGGAGTTTCCTCAAAAATACATCAAATGGGTCATGAATTGTATTACAACTGTGCACTACTTTATAGCTATAAATGGAGGAGTGTATGGCAACATTAAAGGGGAAAGAGGGTTGAGGAAAGGGGACCCAATATCCCCATTACTATTTGTTATATGTATGAAGTACTTCACCAGGATAATGGGGGTAGTAGCTAAACATCAGGGATTTGGATATCATACCAAATGTAGGAGTCTGAAGCTCAACCACCTATGCTTTGCTGATGATGTCCTGCTTTTCAGCAAAGGGGATTTCCAATCAGTACATCTGCTGCTTAGGGGATTAAAGACATTCTCAAACACAACAGGGCTATGCACAAATGCCACCAAATCAAATATATTCAGTGTAAATGTGAACCCTCAAAGTCTTAATGAACTGATTGAAATGACTGGATACAAAAAAGGAAGCCTCCCATTTAGATATCTAGGGGTGCCCATTTCAGCTAAGAGAATCTCAAAAATGGACTGTAAAGTTCTGCTTGATAAAATGACAGCAAGAATTAAAAGTTGAGGTACCAGACATCTTTCCTATGCTGGGAGAGTGCTACTTGTCAACTCTATACTGCTGCACATTTACATTTATTGATCCTCCATATTCATACTTCCAAAACAGGTACTAAAAGGCATTACTACAATATGTAGGAATTTCCTCTGGGATGAAAAAGTTATCACAAATAAACCTCATCTAGTGGCATGGGACATTGTTTGCAGGGACAAGAAAGAGGCTGGATTGGGGATCACAGATTGCATTAAATGGAATGAAATAGCAATTGCAAAATATGTATGGAATGTGGCACAGAAGGCTGACAACTTATGGGTGAAATGGATAAACAACATATACTTAAAAGATAAGGCATGGTGGCAATACATATGTCCAATTGATTGTTGCTGGTACTGGAAGAAGATATGTAAAATTAGAGATGAATTTGAACCTGGATTCATACAGGATGGATGGCAGAATATAAATGGACAGTACACTGTAAGAAGTGAGTACAAATGGAGAATGGGAGCTAAAGAAGCATGACCATGGGGAATATGGGTGTGGAGCAAATCGAATATACCCAAGCACAGTTTTATAGGCTGGCTCACTATGCACCAAAGGCTGTTGACCAAATCTAGATTATGCCACCTAGGCATAAGTCAAGATGATAGATGCCCAATATGTGAGATGCATGAGGAAACTACAAAGCATTTATTTTTTGAATGTCCCTTTTCTAAAATATGCTTACGGGAGGTACTACTGTGGCTAGGGATACATATACAACAAACTGATATAACTGGTATCTGGAGAAGAATGGCGAGAATCACTAAGGGGAAGAGATGCAGAGAAGTGGTGCTTGCTATAGTAGCAACACTTGTCTACTGGATACTGGTATCTGGAGAAGAATGGCGAGAATCACTAAGGGGAAGAGATGCAGAGAAGTGGTGCTTGCTATAGTAGCAACACTTGTCTACTGGATATGGAAGGCTCGCAACAATGCAGTGTGGGAGTACAAATTACCAACTACAGGATATGTGATAAAGCAGATCAAGCAAGAATGCAGATTGAGAAAGATAAATTTTGTAACTAAAAAGCTGAGTGTTGGAGAAAAGGAATGGATAGATAGAGTAATTAGATAAGAGAGATATAGGTTTATGTTTCTGTATGTCTGGCTGGCTTTTGATACATTATTTTATTGTTTTGTTAGCTATTGCTAGGAGGAAAGTGTAAATAGAAAAGAGAAAGGGAAGAAATAGATAGAAAGGAGAGAAAGGAATTATGTAGCAGGCTGTGGTGTTGAATCAATAAAAAATAATTTCTTCACCAAAAAAAAAAAAAAAAAATTGCGTTTGCACTTTCTGCAAAAATAATCTGAAGGAAAAATAGCAAATTTCGTCCCTATATTATTGTCTAATTTCAGTTTTAATCCTCGTGATATTCATATTCTGTAATAGAAAAGATAAAATAAGCTGACATTTCAATTTCGGAGATATATATATTATGTAAAGTAGATTGACTCAAGATTGGTTTTAAGTTATTGCTAGTTTTTTTTATTTATACTTTAGATATTTGTTTGCTTTATTCATTTGTATTACGTGAGGAGTTAACTGAATATCCATGTATTTTCGCTAATCTTTTTATATATTAATTTTTTGAATTTTTAACATATAATTAACAAGTGAAATTGTTTCCCCTAAACAACGACTCCGTATGAAAAGAATGCTCGAGAGATTAGTTATTACTATAAAAGTGAGAACCTTAAAAGTTAAAAATTGAATTATTAATATGCGCTTCTAAATAACGAAATATTCTATTTAAATAATAATAAAAAAGAAAAAAACTAATATTTTTAAAGTGTGTTTTTTAGAAAAGTTATGTCCTTTTAATTTATACCGTATTTATAAAAATAAAAAATAAAAAAGAGTTGCACACGGCTCATTAAAAGGAGAGACGCTTGTTGCCATGATTTTCTCCAAATTCAGAACTTAAATCCAAAACCTATAATTATTAATGGTGGGATCCGATCTAATTCACCATAATCCTTGACGGTGAAAAAGAGAGATTTTTGTTGCGGGAAACCGAACAGGGGTCTAGTTCCTTAATCTCTAGTAACTTTCATATTTTGCTCGGAAGAAATAGAGAACTAAATTTCCTATTCTGCCAAAAAATAATTATAGAGAAATCCTTCCTCCTGCAATCAGCATATTCCATGCCACGTGGAAAATGAACAAAGCATCTCTTATAGAGCTGAATATAAGCTAGCGTTTGAACATATATTTGATTAAAAATTGAAAAAAAGAGTTTTTGAAGTTGTGTTAAAAAATAATTTTTGAAAGTTGAAGTTTTGTACGTGGAAGAAACAATTTTACCCAAAAACTACCCTAAACCAGTTTTTGAGAACTTGAAATTTTTTGAAATCCCCTCCCCACCCCCCACCCCCCCAAAATAAAATATGATCATATTTCATAAACAAACAATATTTTTAAAACTTTTTTGAAAAAATGAAACCAAAATTTATGGCAAAATGGGAGCTAAATATTGCGTTCTATATAAATTGTTACATTTGTTGATAAGAATCGCTATTGCAAGTCAATCAAAGTATACATATAATTATCAAATTATGGTTAATATCATAATTGAATAAACTTTATGAACATATAGATTATCGGATGCAATTCAATATTTTCATTGATACATCCCGAATTATTATTATTATTATTATTATTATTATTATTATTATTATTATTATTATTATTATTATTATTATTATTATTATTATTATTATTTTGGTAATTAAATTTTCGGCAAAGGGTCAAATATACCCCTGTACTGTGAGAAAAGGTTTAAATATACCGTTCGTTATACTTTAGGTCAAAATATACCCCTGTTGTAATACTATTGGTTCAAATATATCCCTCTTTTGTTAAGTTTGTCCAAGGTGGACATCCAATCCTACGTGATACTGCTATTTAATGAAGTGGATATCACATGGCATGCCACCTCAGTGCCCCTAATCCATATATAAAAGACTAAAATTTGAAATACAGTATTTTTCATAGTAGCGGTAATGGTGGCAATAGTGGTGGAGGGAAAGAATATTTTAGTGGCGGAAATAAAATAGAAGGAAGGGGTAAAATGGGTTAGGGGAGCTGAGGTGGCCATGTGACATCCACCTCATCAAATGTCAGTGCCACGTAGGATTAGATGTCCGCTTTGGACAAATTTAATGGAAAAGGGGTACATTTGAACTAATAGTATAATGACAAGGGTATATTTGAACTCAAAGTATAACGAGGGGTACATATAAACCTTTTCTGATAGTACAGAGATATATTTGGCCCTTTTCCATTAAATTTTTATATATATCAGGGAAAATATTTACAAATCAAAGAAGAAACCCATAGAGCTTTATCATACTCAAAGCTTTACTGTACTACCCTTCACTCCCCTATACATTCTTTCTACAACCCTGCTAAGAACTACACAACTATTACATCAGATAGTAGTCCAATCTGTTCAGTATTTTTTTTATATTTCTATTGCTTCGATAATACACTTTTTGTACAACTAATTTGCTAAGTGTCTCACAATCCCTCGATTTGGCTTGAAAGAGTCTTGCATTCCTTTTCTGCCACACAAAATACAGGCAACCTGCTAACACCATTTTGAATAATTCAGCTTTTGCACTTCTATTTTTAGCTCAGTTCTCTGCCCAATGTAGTTTCTCAGACCAGCCATAGATGTTTATGTGAATACCTTGCTAGTTGAGTAGTCTCTTCCATAAGACAGCAACATATTGGCATTTAAAGAATAAATATTGGATGGATTCATTTGCATGTGAACATAATGGACATAGTTAGTTATTATGAATGCCCCACTTTAACAACCTATCCTTTGTGTATAACCTACCATGAGCCACCAATGTTAACGTGAATACCCACCTAGGGCAGCCTGCATTTTTACATACCAACTTCCTGCAGTTCACTTTGTTGAAATCTCCTCGCAGTTTATGATATATATTTTTGATGGAACAAGTTTGCATCTGTATTAGATCTTCGTAGGTGTAGCCTGTCTTCTCAAAGTTATCTTTGGCTTTCAGAATCTTCCTCATAATCCAGAAGCTTGGCTAGGTTGCACCTTCCATATGTATTTGCTTTTTATGTAGTAACAATGCATCCATTGGATCCATAGTTTATTCTTCTCTTTCCATATGTTCCATAGCTACTTGCTGATGGCTGCTTTGTTCCATAGGGATATGTCCATTACATTAAAACCACCTGCTGATCTAGGCTGACAAACTTTGTTCCAAGTTAGGAGAGCTTTCTTTGATATAGTGTTTTTCCCTGTCCATAGAAAACTCCTACAAATTGCCTCTACTATTCTTGTAAACTTCTTTGGTAACATAAAGATTTGAGCCCAGAAAGTTTGAATGGAGAATAGGACACTTTTGATGAGTTGCAATTTCCCTGCATATGACAAGCAATTTAGCTGTCCAGGATATGATGCTTCCCACCAGTTTGTCAATTAGAAGTTGGCATTGAGCTATTGATACTTTTTTAGAACTTAAAAGGTACCCCAAGGTATCTTACTGGCAACTCCCCTCTTGATTATTGAGGTGACTGTTTGTGCACCAAGAGACCACAAGACTACATTTATATTAGAGCCATAAATATGGACTTGGCCCCTTAGGCTACCTCAACCCATGATTTAATATAAGTGAACTAAGATTTTTGGAGTCTATTTAAGAATAAGGCTATTTAACTCGGCTCAAGTAAGCACGTGGCCCATGAGGTTGGACTAATTAGCCAACAAGCCTAACAAAAATATTTTATAAATTTTTTTAAAAAATAAAAAGAATATAGAACTAAAAATAATAAGAAAAATAACCCAAGCTAAATGTCTATTAAGCACATCATATTAGTAGATCAAAATCTTAAAATTTAAATTTTAAATATAGAGTTAAATTAAAATTATGAAATACATAAATAATAAAATCATAATTAACAATACATAGAGATTGTAAGATGTAGATAAAAATAAAGATGTTACGATAACTTTATCACAAGCGGGTTCAAATGTACTTGATGAAGATGATGATGTGTTGGTATTAGATATCGCAAAAGTGCCATTGAAGTTTTACGAGTTTGTTTTGAATTTTGATTTTTAATGAATGAAATATTGTTCCTTTTTTTAATATTTTATTATAATCTATTGGATCAATGTCAACCGTTCTTAAGTTTTACATATGCTTTCTGTCCAAGAAGATATTTTTTTGTTGGTATTTTTAGGTTAGAAGTTAAACTTAAAAAAAAAATTATTTTAAAAAAAGATGAGCCGATCTCTGGGGTCAATGACCCATGTACGACTGAGCTAACTACTTTATGCCCCGTCGAAATGATGGTCCGACCGCCTTGACTCGTCAAATACCAAAGCCCGCATCATTTTGAAATTTAACATTTAAATTTTAAAAAGATAATTAATTAATCTTATCCCTAGAAAATACCTAACCCCAAAAATCATGTCTTTAAAAAAAGAACGACTGC